AGTTAGTCCGCCCCTTAATCCTGCCCTTCGCCTGGACTAAAAATTGTCCATATTTATTCCTTGAGTTAGTCTTTGTTGCCCAGTTGTGGATTAAATATTTGGCTCCAAAACCCGATCGAATAACATTTAATTCGAGGATTAAGTAACCCGTGACTCCGAAACCCATGAGAGTAAGTCAGGGACTAACTCGGTCAGGGTTAACTCTCGGAATAGACTTAGTCGTTGACTAGCGTAATCCTCGAGCTCCGAAACCCGATTTTTTAGTCCTAGAATAAAAACTGGTTTGAACTGGATTTTAGTCCAGGAATAGCGTTAGTCCCGAGCTCCGAAACCGGCCCTTTAGTGTTGCAAAACCAGTGACTTTTGTTTATAGGTATAGTATAAAAAAATTCCGAATTTGATAAAAATATATACATTATAACAAACTACAACAATTTACCTACACTTCATAAAAATAACATGACAATTTTGAAAAAAAAATGTAGGTACAGTTTTTGTAATTTTCTCCATAATCATTATACAGGGTAAGTTTCTACTAAGTGTGTTAATTTTTACCAGTTATTCTACTCACTAATAGGAAGAAAAAAATGTTAAAATTAAATTTTCCAACCTCACCTGTTAAGCTATAATGGCCGATTACGTGTATTTTAAAAGTATTTCACTAAAACGAGCATAGAAATCTAACCAATTCACCTACAGCATTATAATTTACACCAATGAAAAGAACGTTAAATTTCCTACAAAATTATTGCAACACCTTTAACATACAGTACAACCATATATTTCCACCGTTGTATGTATGTCTCACATAACATAATATAAAGAAGTTTGTAAATTACTTCTTTACAACTTCAAAGTGTTGTTAAAACTAATTTTAAATGCTAAATTAAAGTGTCATTGACAGTTTTTTCATAAAATCCACTTAATTTTTTTGTATTTGAAATTAAAAAAAATTAAATGGTTGCCATGATGAAATTTTGTATTTGGACCAAGATATTTTTTTTCTTGCATTGGTCCCTTCTACCTTAAAATCAGAACATCTTTGGTAAAGATTGCTTTGAAAAATATAATGATAAAAATATTTATGTAAAAAAATACGAATTGGCTGGTATCTGGCTAGTGGAGCGATTTTAGATAAAATATGTTGTACTAGATTTTCCCTTCATTTTGACCCAAAGAACCATTTCCCCAATCTGAGTGTGGCTGTTTACTTACAGGACACAATGTGTATCATCATCATCAATAATTGAGATGGAGGCACCTCAACATGAGACAGGGACCACATCAATATTGACAGGTGACAGGTGCGTATTTCATTTTTAGACCCAAATGAGTAAGGGATGAGAGTAGAATGGAGTGTGATGCCGTGTGGTGTGTAGCTTTGTTTCTGACCAAGACCAGCTGTTTTATTAGCCAGGACTATTTATTGAAAGCCCAGTGATCAGGGACAGCTGGGTCCAGTTCCAAAACAACAAAAAGCTAAACACTTTTCCCAGGATGGAACTATGGCGACCTTTCGATTACTACGCGACAGGGCCGGATTTAGCATTTTTGCGCCCCTAGGCCCAAATAATTTTCCGCCCCCTAGTCTGGTCACAGTTACTTTCCTTCAAACCTTTATTAAAAACTATATCATGCCCATAGGCCTAAGTTAATTGCTTGAATACCACTCCTCGTTGGAATCATTGCAAGTTTTTTTTTTTTTAGAATTGACTTGTTTAGCCTTAACAAAAAATACCGTCTTAAACACTTTTAGCAATTTTATGCTTTTTTTAATAATTGCTCACGTTTGTGGCCGTGGGGGTGGGACTGAAACAAAACAACTGAACCCACCGAGCATTCCTGCAAAAAAACATGGCCATTGATTCCAATTATTCCAGGCCCAAAAGCATGAACTCCATACAGTACGTGACACCATAGATTAAACATACGTGTAGGACTCCTTTAGTAGATTTGTCATCATTTTGGATTAGCTGAAAACAAATTCTTGTTATTTAAAGGGGGTGTTTATCTATGTTTAAATCTAGTTTAACCAAAATAAAACGATCTAATCATCAACAATAGGTCGTCTCCTGTTTATATGACAAGAAATTAAAACACACATCATAGAACTAACCCTAAAATAATAGAAACAAAATTACGTCAAAACTAACGTCTAGTGTCACAACATGAACTACACATGGAAAAATTTTTAATTGACAATGTTATGAGACGTCGACTTGAGTTATATTTAATCCATGGTCGTACTGCATCTAGGTTGTATTTCCAAAGCAAAACAGAGCAATATTCCGGCCAACCATACCGATCCTTAGGCCTGAGTTGAAAATGACAGCATTAATGGTTCTTTAGAGGGTATTGAATTTTTCTAAAATTGAATGCAAACTGAGATTAATATTTTTTCGTTAATTTTAAAAGTAAATTCATTGTTGTTTTAATATTCAACAAAACTTAGCCTATGATATATTTTAACTTGATCCTGCAGATAGTTGTAAACTAATCAAAAGATTAGTTAATAAATAACTGTTTTGTGATGTGAGGGTGGTACAATGTCATGTCTAGCACGCATGCGCCCCTTATCACTCTTAGCACAGAATATATGCTCTTAGTGCCGAGCCCGACCCAGCATAGTGGCAGTGCAGTGGCAATACGATGCGTGCGTACCCCTTGGGCGCTCGTCAACGTCAACACCCCTACAGCCTACTCCCGTATAACCAAAGTTCGTTAGCAATTTTGCAACGAAATTGATGCGTAATTCTGAAAATATAGTTTAGATTTCATAACAATTATTTCTTCTTATGAACTTCAGAATCACAATGCTTTGGAGTTTTTTTTTTATCAACTATGACTATTTATTTTTATTTTTAGATAGCCTAGGTATAAAAAAAATACTCCGGCCGTGCGCCCTCTGGGACCTTGCGCCCATAGGCCCGGGCCTATTGGGAAATCCGGCCCTGCTACGCGAGCACGTTACCACCAAAGGCGTCCCTGTAGGGACTGAGCCACAACTTTTAGGAATTTCTATTAAAATACATATTTTAGCTTATTTTTAGACTTCATAGTGCCAATGTTGTGTGTGCCCCCCCCTCCGCAAAAATGTTGGTCACGGACGGACACCTATGATAACCACTGAGCTACCCAGCTAATGTAGACTACCTATATGGATTTAGAACGGATAGTGTTTTTGGCCTCTGGGGACATCAAAACAAAAAAGTGAATCGGTCCTGGGTCCAGGTCTTACTACAGACCTGCAGTAATAGCATTTGCTACAGACTAAAATTGCCTTTTGCATTAATTGTTGTTGTCTGTATAGTAACATTGGTATTAAATATTTTGTCCATTTGTATATCCTAATCATCTAAGCTAATTAAACATATACTACTATTGACTACTGAAGTCAAACTAAGGGAGAACTTCATTTAAAAATCAAAAGCACTCTACCAGGAGCTTCGAACTACTCTCTCTAGAACATCTTATACAAAATAATGTTTTGACCAAAATAACTATTACTGTTCTATCTCTTCTCAGTATATCCTTACACTAAATTTGCCAATAGTACAGTTGGTTTTCTCATAACTTTATACTTTATTGAAGTGTTAGATAGGCCTAGTATATCTTCAGGTAGCATTAAGAAACATAAAAACTTTTATTTTGTGACATGATGTTATCCGTCACTGTCTCAAAATGCTCCTGATTTGATATTATTGTTGATTTTGCTGTCTCTTCCTTTTATATTCTTGGGCTACCGATACTACCTATACATTGGATTTTTTTCTTACCTGAGTTTATAGCTGGCAATTCTGAGAAGTTAGTCTCATCAAGCTGTAGCACATTGTTAGAATTATTTGAAGATACTTTAAGGATGCATTACATAATATTATTGAGAAGATAAATATAGTAGTTTGTTTTGACATTATCAAAAAATGTAAAAAAACATCTGATCAGCTGTTAAGATCAAATGGTCAAAATCTGCTGGGAATTGGCAGATTATACCAAGACACCACTAGAAAAACAGACCATGCTGCAGCAGGGGCAGCGCAACACCAAGATGTATGGGCAACACTATCTCACAGTGGAATATTTTACAACTAACACAAAACTGTTGAGATTTTTATCTGAGACATTTAACAAGTTTTGAAATATTAAACAATATACAATTTGACCATTATAGTTTGTTAGGTCTTGTACTTCGGAGACAGGATGGCACAAGACTGAATGAGGTTTGTGAAGACAACAGGAAGACGTCCGTTGGGTAGGCCTAAATTAAGATGGTATGACCAATTGGTCAAGAAGGATGTGATCCAGTGCGGAGGAGAAATCCGGATGGCAGAGGGAAGAGAAGAGTGGAGGAGGCTAATCTACGAAGCAAAAAATTGGCTGAGATTTGTGAAACCCCATCAGTAAGTAAGTATCTCACCGTAATGTAATGGATTTACATCGAGGAAGTTGATATTCACAGTAAAGATAGTAAAATGGTGTTTGGGTTGTTTCTAACTAAAAATATACTGTGGAATTTGGCACAGTTTGAAGACAATAAGCACAAACAGCTGTTTAAAGCCAAATAAAATGCAAATGATGCCATCGATTCACTATAGAACAATGACTTGTAATATAATATTATGAAATAGAGTTTCGGCTGTTAGTGTTTTTTATATACAAACATTGATGGAACTGCTGTTTCAATTTAAACGGATATGTTAAACTAATTATAGGTAGTAAGAATATTATTCATTTTTCTACTATTGAATGTACATTATAACAAACCATAAGAAATTACGCCTCACTAACGTTTTTAAGAGAAAGGTGAAACATTCGGTTGGTGTTGAAATATACTAATGAATCCAACCCATAAGAAGAAAGGGTAGGCCTACACACTAGTAATGCATACAATAGCAAAAAGAAATAGTGCATTAGCTTGTCCATATAGACAAAGGTTAGTATTTAATATTTTAATTATTTTTAATTATTTTAATAGTTAAATCGGGAAAGAAAAACACAACTAAACATTTTTGTAAACATTGTACACAAGGTTTAATTACACTACTAAGACTTGACGGCTCTATCTGCTAGCGCAGTATGTTGTGATCTCTCTCGGGTTTCTCTGGGTGACAAATTCAATTTCCTCTCTCGCTTCTGGTTTTTGAAGCCATCTTTTCTCCTCAAGGTAGTCCAGATAGTTGTTAAACTCCAGTGGAGTGTAGTGTGGAACATGAATTGGAATAAATGGATCTATTGTCTCGATTCCCTGAAACATTAACATGTGTTTTTACAATGTTAATAGGCCACACGAATACGAATGTTAGTACTACCACGAATACTAGAAAAATACCAGTATGGATCATAAACATAAACAAATGACGTTTTTGGTCCGAAAGTGAAAAAAAAACCCTAAGGCTACTAATGGCATTAATTAAAATGGCATTAATTAAAATGTGGTTTTGTTTACTTTCGGGCCATAAAACGTAATTTGTTTATGTTTATGATCCATACTGGGTCTTTTCTAGTATTTGTGACTACTACACATCTATTTATAAATTTTACCAAATTTCACAAACTGTGCGATATCATAGAGATGATAAGAAAGGAATACAATGTAAACCTAATGGCTTCATTCGTTTCAGACATAACAATTAAAATGCAATAAAGAGTAAATTACCCACATGTTGAATGACCAAAATGCCAATTATCTGAACACAATGAATGAACTTTTAAGATTGTCATTGGTTGTGAAGTGTTATAGGAGCGCTGTCTAGAAAATAAAAGACGTTTTGGCCTGGTAAGAACAACCTATATTTTTATGACACTATTGTATTTCTAAAAAAAAATATATATAAATGAAGAGAATCATCTATTGTATCTACCCGAAACCACTCTGGGAAAACTCTTGGTCCCAATTAATTGCACTTATAATAGAATAGGAAACTAAATATAGGCAGAAGACAAATAACAATGCACCAGCAGCATTATAGACTCACCTCTTTTTGTAAGAGATGGAACGGGAAGTGAGTAGAATATTTCCCCTTGACACAAGCATGATCGTCTATAACTAACACAGCGGCACCGTTATGCTGTAAAACAAAATGAAAAATACAGTCAATAAACTTAATACAGTACTATCAAATAATTTGAATGATGTAAAGGTCTATGCTTGGTTGCAGTAAAATATCCCACCAATGTGTGTTAACATTAATCCTGGTCTTATTTCCAAAGCCAAGACAGAATTTTCTAAAGTTTAATAAATACTATTAAAAGTTACTTGGGAAAGACCAATTTAGCACGCAAATCAGAAGAATGCCATTTTCAAACAGAATGATGCAGTTTCAAAATTATTTAATAATTTAAGTGGGTATTTGGGAGTAACCATAAACAGCCAAAATAAAATTTAAGATGCAGTGGTGGATATAGAATGTTTTTTTGGGAGGTCCGAAATTAATTTAAGGTTAGGTTAAGTAATTACAAGTAGACACGCCATGATACTTAAAATCTCAGTTTTGCTGCAGTAATTTTCGCTAAATGTGCCTTTACTTTACCAAGATCACTCTGTAACATTATATCGTTTCATTAAATCATAAAAGTGTATCCATTCAAGCCAAATGAAGAAAATATCTCAATGACTAAATCAAAAAACGTTGGTCAAGATTTAACAGTGTAATGTCTGTAAACACATGTCCGAACCTAAGGAGTCAAATACGCGATTGTGATGATCATATCGGAGGGGTTATAACAACTGTATGAAAGTATTCTTTTGTGCGAACTGCAAAACGTTAACATTTCAGTACAGTCGAACAGATGTAGCCTAAAAACAAACAATAGTAATGGCTAGCACTGAACTGACAGAACTCTTCATTACTCCCCTCCATTGTCGCTGGAAAATAAGCTGGTCTCAAGCTGTCACTGCAGCAAGCGAAGATAGCCGGGCGGCGGGCGGGAGCTCGAGTTGGTCTGAACTGAATCAATCCCAACTCGCACAAATTATCACTGTCTGCCACGGCGATGACATGATTCATGATAATTTGATAAACAGTTCATATTATGGTACCTATTTTTTTCATTTCCATTATTTCGGGGGTGGGGGGGGGGGGCGGCCCCCTCTTACATTCGCCCCTGTGAAGATGAGATACAAATGATGTTAAATGCTGTTAACCCCTTCGCTTACAACGACGGCGATCCGCCGTCGCGCTCCCGTTAGCCATTGTGTGAAGCGACGGCGAATCGCCGTCCGCTATTAAAACCTGTTTGTGCCGAGTTAGTTCCCCAGAAATCCAATAGATCGCATATGCTTCTTGTTCTATGATTTCCAGGCTTTCTTTTGGTTATATTTTCGTCATCTCAGTCCAGTCCAATCGGCAAAAAAACTGAAGTTGAAATGGTGCAACTTAGCAGCTGACGACGTCTACTCTGGTTTCACAGCTGATACGTTGTTGTGTTTACTTCGACGATGTAAACATTGTGTTAGAGCCTTGTTTTACTTTATTATTTTATTGAAAAGTGTAGTTATCTTATAAAATAAGTTATAGAATTTACTTAGTGTAAGTTTTTATCAGTATTTTACTTTTTCGTCGTTATAATGACTGAGTTATTAGGCCTATCATGTCGTGTTTCACTTCGTCGTGATAAAGATTGAGCTACAGTATCTTGTTTTACTATATTATTCAATTGAAAAGCTTTTGTATAATACGATGAGTCTTCAAAATAACTTGGTATTCGTGGATGAATGTGGAAAAGAGTTAGATGAAAGTGACATCATAAAACTTATAGGGGATTGTGACAGTGACAGTGATTGTGACTTGTTTGAGGAGAGTGGTTGGAGTGATGATGATGATTTGGAAGGGAGCAGAATTCAAGTGAGTAATAAGTCTAATACGCCTATTGATTATGAGACCACAGTTTCCCCAGAACATAATACTAATTGTGTTAGGCCTAGGCCATTAGAAAGTGACCAGTTGTTGCTTGAACAGCCTTCTTGCAGCTATGCTAGGCCTATGACCCCTCCAGATGCCCTTACTGTCCAATATAATTCAGATTTGTCTAGTAGGCCTGAAATATTTGATCAGCATGTATCTTCTCCATCACGTGATGAAGAATTGCCTAAATCAGTCCAGTTTCTTGATCGGTTATACCGCGGTAGTATGAGCGCGCCTTCTCTCTCGCCTACACCGAGTGAGGAAGCTGACGACCCTGGTTTCCCTGACTCTAGGCCTATAAATGATATAGATAGTGGCAGGCATAGGCCTATGACCCCTCCAAATGTCCAATCTGATTTAGATTTGCCTATTAGGCCTGAATTATTTGACCAGCTTGCATCTTCAATCGTGCCTGCCCTCTCACCTACACCGAGTGAGGAAGCTGACGACCCTAGCTTTCCTGACCCTAGGCCTAAAAGTAAACCTGTTAGGGGCAGGTCTAGAGGAAGAGGTAGGCCTATAGGAAAAAAAGCTATTTCACAACCATCTAAGCCTACTAAAAGGTCCAAAACTCAAACTAGTAACGATACAGCTCCACCAAAAAAGAAGAAAAAGGAGGGTTGGCAGTGGACCAGTACCATAGAAAGTAATATAATAAATAAAATCCCTTTTACTGGTTGTCCTGGTGTTAGAGCAAGTTTGGCTAGAAGTTTAGGCTCAGCTCCCTCTGAATTAGATGTTTTCAATGCGTTTCTTGATAATGACTTTTGGCAACATGTTGCAACAGAGACTAATAATTATGCCAAAGAAACAATTAAGAAAAAGAACGAAGCAGGCGGGGTAGGAAAAACTATATACTCAGAATGGTTTGACACAACTACAGATGAGATGGCTTGTTTTTATACACTGTGTGTCCTTATGTCGCTTGTAAAAAAAAGAACCATACAATCATACTGGTCGCCTAATGCTGTAACTGAGACCCCTTTTTTTCGTAAAGTGATGCCATTCCGCCGTTTTTTGCTACTGTCCACATTTTTCCACCTTACAGACAATAATAGGAAACCTGTGAATGATAAACTGTGGAAGTTAAGGTACGTTATTGAGTACATGAACAGGAAGTTTTCCCATCTGTACATACCTGATGAAAACATAGCTGTCGATGAGAGTCTTATGAAGTTCCGAGGGAGGTTGGGCTATGTCCAATTTAATCCCAAGAAGAGAGCCAGATTTGGCATAAAGTTTTACAAGTGTTGTGAATCTGGAAGTGGTTATTGTTCTAAATTTAAGATCTATACTGGAGCTGAAGTCAAAGAAAATGTACCGGTTGAAGAAGGAAGTGGGGATTCTACACAGGAGGAAAAGCTGTTAACGAGTGAGGCGATAGTCGTTGAAATGACAAAAGATTTGGCAGGAAAAGGACATACTCTGACAATTGATAATTGGTACTCCTCACCTCTTCTCTTCTATAGACTTAAGCAAATAGGTTTCAATGTAATTGGAACAGCTAACTGGTGGAGATCAAACATGCCAGAGAGCTTCAAAGAGGGTAAACTTAAGTTGGGCGACTACGAGACAGCCTATAGCCACGATATGTTAGCAGTAAGGTGGCAGGACAAGAAGCAAGTTTGCATTTTGTCTACCTTTCATCAAAAAGCTGACAAAAGATCAACTGGCAAGAAAGACAGAGTTACCCAAGAAATTATAACAAAGCCAGAACCAGTGATCTACTATAATCGTTCAATGGGTGGAATTGACCGCGAGGATCAGCAATTAGCGTCGTTTCCTAGTATGAGGAGGTATGCTAAGGGATACAAGAAGATCTTCTTTTACATAATGGACATTGGCCTTTTTAACTCTTATGTAGTGTTCAAAAAATTAACCAGAAAAAAATTGGGGTTCAGTGAGTTCAAGGAGAGGTTTGTCAAGCAAATGTTTGAGTCGCGACAACTGCCACCGTACAATTGAAGAGGACGATCATCCAACTCAGAAACACCTCTGAGGCTCCAGGCAGCAACTTGGGGACATTTTCCTAGGCCTATTCCTCCAAATGAAGTCAAACAAACACCTTCAAGAAGATGTAAGGTGTGTAGTGCCCAGGGAAAGCGCAGTGACAGCCGATGGGAGTGTGAGCTCTGCCTTGTCGCACTTCACATGCCAGAGTGTTTCAAGGCATACCACACCAAAATGAACTTTGCTTGACATTTGGTGAGTTTTTATAAGTGTCATACAGTATTATAGACTAGTTCCAAAACATATATGAGCCCTATGTAGCTAAAAATTACCAATAAAAAAGTTTTTTTTATTTTTTAATTTTTTTATTTTATTTTTATATGGTATAATAAAAAATTATAGTTATATTTTTTTGGGAAATATTTATATATTTTGAATCTACATTTAATTTTGAATAAGAAAATAATAATATCTTGCATATAAATAGTAAATGTTGCCTGAAAAAAAATTAAATCAGAAATGAATGAAACTAGCCACAACAAATTCGTTTGTTTTGGCCTAGGCGGGTAAAAAAAAAATCATAAGTGAATGGGTTAATAGGGTCTACTAGAGTGTATATTCTGTCAAGAAATACACAAAATTAGAATATCATACAGTAAATAATACAGCCAGTTTTCTTGCTTGGTTCATAGAAATGGACACAAATACAGGTGCAAACAAATATTCAGAAGGATACATGGACCATTATTTTTAAGGGTTTAAAGAATATTGAAGAAAAAATATTGCACTCAGGAACCTGTACAGAAGGCCAGATATTGTGGCTGATAAGAAATAGGAGAATTAGGTCATTTGAGAAGAAGAGAGAAGGATTCAAAAACAAGAAGGCTGTGGAAAGGTCGACTAGAAGAAAGGCGTCCAATAGGAAGACCAAGATTAAGATGTAGCAACCAATTGGCTGGAGATGTAAGAAGAATACGGGGAGAAGGGAGAAGTGGACTTTTCTGAGGACAAAGGAGTATGCAGACAATTTGTTCGCAAGGTCTAGAATCAAGTTGAATTTTGAGTGGCCACAGGGGTAGGAGAAAGTTAAGATTCTGAAATTAATGTCCGAATGAACTGTTTAAATGTATTTTTCATCGGGCAAAGAATAAGATAATAGGCTAAGGATTACTATTCATTGCGACCATTGGTTGTAAAATTTTAAATAATCAGACTTATTTCCAGTCAAATATTATATTTGATACATATATTGACAAGTTACAAATCTAAGAAGTATAAAATAAGAAGAACAAACTTGAATACAGGTGGCACTGGAGAGAAGAAGAAACATCATGGTTCAGTCAGTTTTATTTAGTCAGTGGCAGTGATAAGACAAAGACCAGCCTGTATTGTTAAAAAGCAAAGTAACTCGAAAGCACATGACAGCAAGTTAAGTTGAACCAACAATGTTTCTGTACTATCAAAACTAGTTTTATCAAAATACAGAGAAAATGTAAAAATATCACAAGAATTAACTACTGTAATGAATTTGTATCGGATTTAAATATTCAATTTATTCTCTTACTTGTATTCATATTTGTATATCAAGTAAAACATAAGCCATTTCTATTATTAATGCTTGTGTATTAGTATTATGTCAGTGTTAACTAGAGGTCAGTGTGGGACATGTACAATGGAGAGCCAAGTTTACATCCTATCAATCTCCAATGGTGATTTGCCATGTAATAAATGTCATGAGCATCTTAAGAACAGAACCATCTCTACAAAACAGTAAGAAACAAACTATCTCTACAAAAGCCTAAAATATAAACAAGCTTACCCAATCATTTTTCACAGCCTCAACAAAAATTTTAGTCAAAGAAGCTCTAGTGGGGTCGAATGGAGCTCTCTCTGCTGTCTTTAGTTTAGATGATGTTTGAAAAAAGCCGTTAAACCCATCAATCGCCAAGAATACTTTACATCTGTAACAAAATATGAACATTAGTTAGAGATACTGCATTCATCTATGGAGTGTGATTTTTGAAGTTTCTATTGATGGGATGGGTTACAGTAGTTTCAAACATGTTAAGAAACGTCACTTTGTCAACTTTTGATATAGCCTACTACTTTGGCCCCATCCTTGCTGCCAAATGCGTGTGACTGTCTTTGGTCCCTCTGGCGAAAGAAAGTGTGTTCACAGTTAGATTGAGAAACAGTGAGTTAGTATAAACTATAAAGACAGACTGATAGGGTACCCTGCTGTTGCATCTCTTGTGTTATTTGGTAGCGGGAGTGTTATGACGCTATGATGATGGTCAAGTCTGTCAACTATAAGCACACTACGACTCTAGCGCTCAGGTTGGATCAACATACTACCAGTGGGTTAGCATTACGACTAACTCGCAGCAAAAGCCACGTCAAGCTACACTTGTGAGTTGTTGTCTTGGGGTAAACCAATCTTTAAATTTGTCACTGTGGAAATTGGATAAAATATTGATATGGTATAATAGCAAAACTAGGAAATTGGGTAGTGTAGTTTTTAAAAAGTAAAAACAGCCATTAATATCATTGCTTACATCCTGTAAAATGATCAAGCAGAGAAGTATGCTGTATAATGTAGTATAGTATGTTTAAACTTACTGGTCATTGCACGCGTTAGCTTTTAACTCGTTCATCAGTGCATCAACAACTAGACAGGCATATTTCACTCTGTTGATGCCAAATGAGACCATTTCATTTAGTGAACTTCCCTCTTCTGCTTTCTCTCGTGGAGTCCATTGATAGGTCTTGGTCGTTTTCAACTGAAATGAAATCAACATCCGGTATCTTTGGGTCAAATACAGTAAAAAGAAAACATATTTCAAAAAGTGAAGGTTATTCTTCAAACAGAATTCCCTAGGTAGTTCATTAGATAGTGCAAAATAGTTGCTTGATTGAAAAATATAAGTACAGGTCCACAATTATTTCATTGAGATGTGATCTTCGATTAAGGTGACATTATTAAACTGGTTTTGATACTCAGATTTTTGCAATCTTTAAAGAAAAGATTAAATTGACATGTTTTGAATAGGTATTATAAATCAGTGTACCACTAGTAGCAAAAATAAACAACGCCATCAGCTTACTTGAAACATACTTTCTCTCATACTCAGCTTGAATTGAAAATTGACCATCCTACTACTTTTATGAGCACAAAATTTAAAACAATTATGTTATACTCAGTATAACATAGTAATCTCGGCTATTAGCTAAATACCACTTAAGGCTATTTTAACTACAACAATCTTTAGAAATAGGCACTCAACATGTGAACACTCACATCCAAATCAGCAATCAGTTTCTCATTGGTCATTGCAAAACGTTTGAGCCAACTTCCAGCAGCCATAGGCAAGTCAAACACAGACGGGTCTAGTTCACTGGGAACTACTTCTTTGGTCCAGTGGTACCATTTCCAAACTGTGTGCAAGAAACATTTAAATTATATACGTAAAGGCTTTGCTAATATAGTCCAGCATTTTACACTTTTGTTTGTAAAGCCAGTGAGGGTTCAAACAAAACCAAGTATATTTTATACATGTAAAATAATATAGGATAGGTTTAAGCAAATTTCTCAGTAAAATCATAACATACAAGTTAAACAAGATACTAAATGTTAACATATTTGATGCGGGTGCGGGCTACTACAATTGTAGTACCTAAACACTAGGCCTACTATAAATGCAGCACTGCGCTTTCCTCACTAACATTGCCTCAGTGTGAGCCTAGCATTCGACAGAAAAAGTTGTTATTGTCGCTCTCCCCATGTGTAGTGCCCATCGAAGTATATAACACAACTGGAATGCTAGGTACGTGTTCACGAAAGCGCGCCGTTGTGGCAGCCTTCCTCCGCCACCATGGGGGACCCAGCGGATTTTAGCCAATTCATCGAATAGTGTGCAAAGTTGTTAACTCGCTCCTAGCCTTCAATAACAAAGATTAAGTACAATAATATTTATATATTCTTAATCTGCATTAAATGCAGAATGTAATGGTATAAATAAATTTTACTTTTGATTGGAAATAGAATTTCCATATTTAAAAAGAGTTAACAATTTCTACATTGTGACATGAAAAAGTTAGTATGCGAGGAAGTATTTTATTTTTGGTCCAGAAGAAATTACTTTAAGCGACAAAGTTGTAGTTTAAGAGATGATTTTTAACATGTGCTCGAGCAATTTACAATTAAGTGTGTAGTTTGTTTGTAGTATAGTGATTAATAGCGCGACGAGGTTGAATTCATGTCCAACCTCCTCAGTCCAGCAACTCTTTATGTTTTTGCTACTCGATCATTGTAAAGCTAAATAAATTTTAACCTTTTTTTAATAGTTGATATAAGATAAAGAATACAACTAACTATTCTATGGATGTGATCATATATTTCATTTATTTGCAGAAGATAAATATCAATACCAGTACCGGGCTGACGCCCATGAATGAAACTTGTAGGGACACTGTTTTACAAAACCGCTTGTTTCTCCAATGCTAGGAACATTATGAATGAATGTAACAAAAATAAGTTAGGTGTAAGGCAGAGATTGAAGAAATTGGTTTTGTTTCACAACATGTAATGCAACCTTTGTACTATATTAAAGCACGATTGTGGGCAGTAAAACATATTCTTAGAAGTACTTTTTAGTATTATTAACCAAACCCTTTTCTCTTATGTGTGATGATATGAATTTTAAAACATATACAGAATAACAATGGCACTAAAAACACTTTTTTACTAATCGTGTCTTTGCAAAATTATACAAATATTCATATTGTCAAAGGAACACGAACCTAACAATTCGATTTGTAAATTTATTATTCAATTTTTTTATTGCCTTTACGTTAAATACTTCCAAGGTTTAGTATTTATGACTTTATCAATTATTTGCTCTGAACCTTAATATTTGAAATTTCTCATTAATTACCAAACAAAGCAGATAGTACATGATCCCTTGTTACAACTAAACAAAGGGGATTTACCAGTCCCTGTCCCTGTATATATAGTCTACATTTTATATTTTAATTTGCAGTACCGGTAACATTGTATGTAAATAGTTTACCTAGAAGGTGATAATACAGTATTTAGTTATGTGTTACCTGTAATAAAAATGTATTTAATATAACTATTGGTTGTACTCAAAACGTTTCTGGGAGTACCGTAAACAAAAAGATCAGCGGAACCAGGGAGGACGGCCCGCGGCGCGATTTATAAAGAACCTCTTTGCGTTACTAATTACTCCATTACACACGACTAGAACATTTTATTTGAAATTGCTTGGTTTTATGCTGAAGATCATCTCATTAGCTACAATTTTGTCGCTTGAAGTTTGCTTCTGACTGAAAAATAAAAAAAAATCCTTGCTTAGTAACTTTTTCATGTCAAGGTGTGATATTTGTTTAACTTTTTTAGTTGTTAAAATTTTAATTACGATTTAAGTAAGATTATATTTATACTGGCAGATTCTGCAGTTAATGCAGATTCCGAATATATAAATTTAATTGCAGTCAACCTATTGTATGCTCGGCCAGGAGCGTATTAACAACCGCGTGCACGGCTTGAGGAACTGACATATCTGCGTCGAGTCCCCCTTTGTGGTGGGGGAAGGTTGCTGAAACGGCGCGCTTTTTATCCCAAATCTCCTATCTACCCGGTGTTCCAGTTGTGTTATATACTTCGATGGTAGTGCCGGTTTCAAACGTTTTTGTTTTAGTGCAATTTGTTTTTGGATCGGTCAATTTTTTATCTTACTTTGTCAATGCTTTTTGAACAGTGTAGGGTTTTGTATGGGGTTTTGGTTTAGTGACATGGGGTGGATAACAATAATGACTGTATGTGTAGTGTAGCTTAGCATTGTGGAAGGAACCTAACCTCATAGTTGTGCTTTTTTTGTATTTTTTATGGTGTTTTCGGGTACGGTAGTGTAATTCCGGGTAGTGTAATTCTTCTACTTTTCCCCTCCATTTAGCAATAGCCTGTTAGTATTTTGATTTAGTGCTGCTATCTGTAAGAGCTACTTCCCTATAAGGGCTTTATAAAGAATATTAATCTATTTTCATAATTTACAACCGCTAGTGTTATCGTCAGTTTTCTAATTTTGCCAAAACTTTAAATAGGCTAGCTTCATAGGATAAAGACTGTTGAATAAACGGGATAATGTTCTGCATTGATAGTTACAACAGTACTTACCACTTGGTAGGTAGACTATTACGAAGCCGTTGTTCGCTGCGTAGTTGAGGGTATGTTGTAGGGTTAGGGTTTTTCCGCTACCAAACCTTCCATCTATCTTATGTTAATGAAATATTTTTAATTTATTGTTCGATTAGGCAAAACATATAATTATGAGTAAACAGTCACAGAAACACAAAATGAAAATACCTTTAAACATTACATCAGACTCTTATAATACTGGTAGGCTAAATATAAATAAGAAGGTAAGTGGTGACTAATTTCATTGACTATAAATTTTGATTAGACACTCCTGTTATAGGTAATTAGGTCATCAGTCCCAATACAGTACCATAAGTGAATGTGACCCAATGTTTGAATGAAGTTCATATGCTCGTCTGAAGTTTAACATTATATTGTATATATAAAACACCCCCATCACAGCAAACCTGCAGACAAAGTAAATTATCATCTTCATTTGATTTTCGCTTAAACATTTCTTTTAGTGTCAGATCTATTCTCTATTTAAATGTTTAAAAAGTGCAGTACTAGGGAAAACATACTCCCTTAGTAGATTTCTCATCCTTATGGAACAGCTGAAAACGATTTCATTGTTAGTTCTGTACGGTTTTATGTAGAGGTCGTGTTTTGGTTTCCCGTTATTACAGTCATTTAAAACCTCGTTTAACCAAATAATACGAGCTAATCATAAACAATAACTTGTCCCCTAGTTATATAACCAAACGGTAAAGCACAAATCAAGAAATTAACGCTATGATAACAGAAACCAAATTTCGTCAACACTAGCGCCCAGTGTGGCGTACATGAACTATATATACGAAAAACGTGCTTCAAAATTTACAATGGGATGAGAAGTCTACTTGTGTTGGTTAGTCTATGGTACTACTTAGGTTTTCTGCTGCGAGGAAGGTAATACACTTAACTTAACACGTTGGGTGCTGATGACGGGAATTCCCGCAATTGCTTAACATTGAAATAAATGCAACTTTTATGTTCAAACATGTCGATAGCACGAATAGTGTTAATGTGTGTTTTTAAGTGAAATGTTGATAGGTAGCTTAGGATGAAATAAACCGGTCAATTTTCCAAGTTTGATCAAAATATATCCATAAACAAGCAAACTACAACACACGGTTATTTATTAGACATTATTTTTTAAACTACCTACATAAAATTACATGAGCATTTTTAGTTACGGTAACAGTTTTTTATAAAAAAAAGTCAATTGATTGGTGATTTGAATGGTTGAAGCTCTACTGTATTTAAGTTGCCCAATCATACCAAAATAAAATTATGATCCAATAAAAACTAAAGAGGTCTGATTTGAATTTAAATTATTATTTGAGTATACGGTAGTCATTTAGTTAATAACAAAGATCACTAAAAAGCGAGAGTGTTCAATTAGAGGCATGAATACTGACTAGTTGATTTTCAGTTGTAGAGTCAACTAATAAAAGGATACATAAAGCGTAACGAATGATAGGCTTATTGTAATCAGCTCTTTTCAGATAGTCCATTAATTCCAGGGCAGGTTGTCTCACAACAATACTGGTTTCACAGAATGTATCGGTCAACCGCTCAAAGTACATAGGAATATCACTCTTCAGGAACAATCGCTTCTTGACATCGTCGGGCATGTTGTAGAGTTTCGCAAGGTCTTGATTACTCTGCTTTGTCTGTAAAAATTATTTATTTAGTAACATTTTAATAAGTTATCTGTTAAATACATTTTTAAAACAAAATTTAATAACTAGAAACAAATTTTTGTATTAAAATAGTAGGCCCTATGAAAAACTCCCCATTAATAATGTGAATGGATATATAGATCTAGAATTAGGATGTTTTGATGTTGAACCTGTGGCATTAAGCCTAGAAGTTCCCCAAGTCGCAACGTATGCAGCCATTGTCGCTGCTAGCTCAGAGATTCGGGAAGGCGTTGTAACTGTGTGAGTGAGAGGGATGGTGTGATAGTGGAGGAGGACACAACAATGCTCTCTCTCTCTCTCTCTCTCAAGGTCAGCCTGCCTGACATTGCTCGTTACGGCTACATTCGTACCCAACGTTTCTTTCGCCAAGCCCTCTTGACCAGCCGAGGTGTAGTGTAGTAGTCTGACAGACTAAAGGGTGCGTTAATTAAGTTTCAAGACTGATTATTTCCTGTGTAGCAGAGCGCTGCCGGTTAAATCTCTGGTCCGGTTAAATCGGTCTGGTCACGTCACGTGGACCTGGCTGGGTGGAGGGGGGGGAGGGTCACGACAGTGCACGTCTATAGCAGCTGTGACATCAAAATTTCAGAGGGTTTTGTTGTCAAGGACAAGCTGTTGGCTGGACTAGACGCTTCTCACAACGACCCTCCCCACTCCACTCATGAGAGTTGTGTGGCTGATGAAATTGAAAGTTTTGGTAGGTTAAGTTGAGGGGAGAACAAGCCATTTTTTGGCTGGACTATGCACGTTCCCTAATGAAATAGCTTCACTTGTACAACCTGATTAAATGTTTATATAGGATAGCCTAATTAATACATATTTAAGTAGAGACATAGTTTTTGCTGATATTCTTAAGATGGCCTTTAAAACAAGGTGTCACTTGATGGGACGTTACATTTACCATTTTTAGCTGACCAAATACCCTACACCATCCAGACAAAATTGCAATTCCAACATAGTAACTTTTAAACAATTAGGCCTACCGGTATGCCATAACTTCTCTGAATTTAAGCATCAAAGCTTACCGGATCATTCTCTGAAGTCCTAACAGCTGTTTTGCTTGGATTGAAAGCAACTGCAGCCTCCGATGACAGGCCTCGGCAACACAACTGGTATGTCAACGAAGATCGCACTAAAATACAAAGAGAATATAAATTACATATGTGAGTGGAAATTATATCTCCAATACAATAGTCAGCAGTCTGTATGTGTGTGTTTTACATATGTATGTGCGTATTGTGAAGCAGGTCAGTTATCTCAGGGAAAGGGTAGTAGGAGTCTACAGTTTGTCCAGCTGTAAATTAATTTATATTAAGTTATACACCAATCACCCAGTCCTCCAGTGTTAACTCTCAACCCGTTCAAAAATCCTTTTTAACTTTTCTCTAAGTTATCTCTTATTAAATAAATTCTCAAAAATATAACGAAACTCTCCCACACACAAGAGTAAATTCTCCTTGGTGGGAGATAATTAAGATGACTTAACAGTGCAGCGTTTCACAGCCTTTGAGTACCGGTACCGTAGGTTGATAAGTTACGACTAATTAATAAATAATGGCAATCTATATAATTAATACGCTACATGAAACTTTGTCGGTTGAACTCCTCCGCCATTTCTTAACCGATTTTATCCATTGACGTCTCATTGGAAAGAGCAAGTCGCGTAGATTTGCAAACTGGCCCTACATTTTTGAAAAAAGTCCCTTGGGCTCTGCCCCAGTGGCTAAGAAAGTTTCCATGTTATCCTTATGAAGAACATAATTGTTTACATTTTGATCAGCTGTATAATTTAATTGCTGTCATTTATTTTCTATTCCAATGAAACTTACTGAGTGCATTAATTTACTATTTGAGTTTGTGTAAACATAACCCCCAAAACGGATCGTGTTAGTATGGTTGTAAAATTTGTGTACTTATCGTTGTTTTGTGTCGCTATGACGGATCGTGTTAGCATGATTGTAACTTAAATTTGTGCATTTATCGTTGTTTTGTGTAGCTATAATTTGTTTATTTGTTGGTTTTTTTTAATGCCTCCGACGTGACGACAACAAAACATCGACAGGAGGCGTAATCGTGATAACGACCGCAGCTACAGAACAGTGGCACGTAATAGGCTTAACTCATCACAGTCAGCAACTGACCCTGGACAAACTCAACTATTAGGTTAAATAATGCACCCTAATACTACCCCAAAACGACTTTTCGTACTCAATTGGCCCTCTATCAATGACCTGTGTTGCCTGTACTGCGAGGCATTTTGAGAAGGAGAAAACAGGCCGTAATGCTTTAGGTTTATCAATAACGAAGATACCTAACTGTAGGAAATATATAGGCATAACTTATAATGAGTAACGCAAATGCAAAGTGCCTTTGCTGCAATCAAGAAGCTTTCCACACTCGCCTGCGGCTCTTGCATATAGGCTACATTTCCTTCTCTCATGTGCAGCAAAGTAGCGATTCGAGCACTAGCCCTAGTTACACAAATAACGACCTATGTAATTTGACATGACAACAATTTTCTGTTGTTTGGAATTTAGGAACAACTTGGCCTAAGTACTTACAGATTCGTAGGGTAGTAGTCATCCTTATGTTCAATGTAGGCCTAGCCTAAAATGAATGGATTAATATTATAGTATTTGAAACAGTTGGTAACTTTTCCCGACTCTTCAATCTAAGACTGTGTAAATATCGTAAATATCAACATAGTCAAATGATTTTTTTTACAGAAACCTTTAAGTTTTAGTTTAGGTTTCAAGCCCAGTTCAGTTCATTCAAAACATAACATAACCTAAAATTCCTTTGAAATTGAAAGTTATTTACTTATTTATTTACTTTTTTTCATGGACTGAATTGAAAATTTAGATCCGAAATGGACCGAACGAAACATACCAATAATAGCATAGACTAGACTAACCAGTATGTTTTATCATAGGTTTTATCTATGCCAATAATAGGAAGGAGCTTGCAGAACTTGAGTGTGGCTGCGCTAGTGCAGTGTCGAGCTATTAGGAGCCTATGTCCTGTCCATTGATTATTAAATATCCCCAACCTCAAGAAGTAATTTAATTCTTTTCGTTGTAGAGAATTAAAAATTTCAGTCTTTAAAAACGCAAACTCTGGGAATTTTGTATATACACCTTTTGTGTTGAAGCCAATTTTCAAATTTTCTCATATTTTGAAATTTTTTTTAAATGTTATTTTCAGTTTTAGCATAGATAAAGTATGTTTTATATATGGTTATATTAAGGAAAGTAAACTAAATTAAGTGAATTTTTTTGTATTAAATTGGTTGAATAATTGTTCAACCCATGGCCTTCAGTTTTCGAATCATATCAATGGAAATTCCGATTTTTAAATTTAGATTGACAAAAACTTAATTGATTTGTATAGGTTTCCGATCCTTCAGGTTAAATTAAAAGTAATAGAAATACAATACAACGGAGTAAATGTATTGTTTAATATGAAAAATAAAGACCGAAGGAACAAGCTTTGATTTAGTCTTTGAACTAAATAGGGAATTTCTAAAAATGGGTCAGATTTCAAAATTGGTTGACAATTTTCATCAAAAACTGAAACCGAGAATCGATGAAAATTTTGGATTTTTGGTTGTTATACTGACAATTAATTTACCCCAATGTCGGGATAGCCTACGATGGCGATGTCCTTGCTCAGTGGTATAATTTCACCAAATCCTTGGGGAGGGGGGAGGCAAACACCGGGGGTATGGAATACCCCCCAGCAAACCGAGGGGTGGGGTCCGGGGGGTCCCTCCCCCGGAAAATTTGGCAGTTTTTAAACGAAAAAAGAGGGGTTTAGCTTGTTTTAATAGTCAAAAGCACATAGAATAAACAAAATTATGAGTCAAATTGATTTAAATTTAGGCAGAAAATTGATGAAACTAACAATTATTGACAACAGACAGAAACATAATAATTTGTTGGTAAGTTAGTCATCTAAGAAACGCGATCAATAGTTCCATGATGTATTAATATTATGTTTGTTATTAGATTCATGGCCAATTTCTCTTGTACAACATTTAGACCTATAGCAATGGATACGGTTGTATTTATAGCCTACAGTTTATAACAGTTTATTTTAGTATTTGAATACAACACAAGTATTTCAATACGTTACTTAAAAACACACCAAATTTTGTTATCAATAAAATAATTTGACATAAAAGTCTAGAATGTAAGTGAAGGGTGACTGCACGGACAAAGCTATCTTTTACAGTTACATAGTTACCGGGTAATACTGTAGGCCTATTAACCAATCCTGTTTAGCCTATCATAGAATCATAAAGTTTTTCAAATGACCACACAACCAACCTCCAGATTACTGCACCAGCCTTCACACGATTCAAATACAACCAACAAATTAATATAAAATAAATACTAAATTGAGACGACCTAAGTTTGCTTAATGGTGGTACAAAAACATGTTTAGGACTTTGTTACTGAATGAACCAGCAAACCACTCCTAGGAATATGCAAGAGTAGCATAACTTATGTTGTGACTCGGATAAATGTCGCTTAGGATGATTTGTTTGACAATGCCCAAGGCATATCGTAGATGTAATTTATGACGTGAGTTGGATTATGTTTATCTCGGTGTAAGTGAGTACACACTACTGTATGTATCAGATCTTCCTTGATTGTTATTTTATAATTCATATGTATATATTTTTCTACCCAAACCCAAGTACCAGTAACATTTTAATTAAAGTCAACGTGAGGTTATACGCTTAGAAAGCGGTCCAAACCCAATCAAGTATTGTAGATGTGCCGAGAATTGAACCCGTCCCTCCCGCATAGTAGTCCGAGATGATAACCATTAAGGCTAGCAACACACCATATTCCAAGATTGTTTAAGAACACATTATATTTGGTTTTCAAACATGATAGTTTATCTTGTTATGCATGCCTTCCTTTTAAAATTCGTTATATTGAACACATTTTACCAATAAATGTTGTAAAATCATACGTTTAAACAATTATAATACACGTTGTACAAGTAATCGATAAACTTTCTTGTCATAATTTTTGTTCAATAATTGTTCTTTTTCTGCTGAAGACATCGTTGATTTTCATATTTTAGTTGTTGGTTGTTAAATGCATGAGGAATAACAAAGATTAAACGAACCCTACCCACTTACCTACTAGCTCTATAGTTTATTAAATTAGGCTATTCTTATATAAATCCATAAAAATAACAAAATATAAAAAAAAAAAACTGCGATTGATTATTAATTTAAAAGTGTTTCTTTCATTTAATTACTATTGAATAATATACTGGGGCATGTTACAAACATGTTTTATAGGTACCGTATATTCTGTGTTTGTTGCTGTAAGCCGAAAGCTCAAGACGTAAAAAGTTATGTAGGAAGGTAGGGGTATAAAGGTATCGTATATTGCAGCAGTAAAGAGATACCTTACTCAAGAAATATGACGTTATGCACTTAAACATAATCTGCTTAATATATATGTTATGTAACTATTACCTTTAAGAATAAGAATAAGAATTAATTTATTTTCTTGAAAGCAATGTTACAATACATTACAAAAGCGTATATTATAAACATAGATACTGTTGTGTTTTCATTTGTAAAATAAATCAAATTTATTAACTTCCTAAAAATTAATTTAACTAAAATTCATTTCTAAAATATAATGCATAATTGGCTCATTCAAATGAAAGAATAAAAATTAAGTAAAGCAAACGTAACCTTAAAAAGCCCCCGAAATAAAAAAATGCAACACTACGGTATGCTATATTTATGTAACACAATTTTATGTTTTCATAATGTGTTTAGACTATAGTTTTTTTTTGTCACAGTCTTTTCTTGAGCAGCTTGGGAATATGAACTGATCAGTGCCAAAAAGAGAACCAAACGGGAAAGAATATTAATTAGTATCAAATACTAACAAACAATTCACTAACCAGTTTTCTACAGACGTCCTCTAGGATCGTGGTAAAGCAACACTCTTATACCCGAGGGAAATACGTCTAAGTTTCCTCGTCTCCCACAAAACAAATTTACGATTTACAAGATTTCACTTAGGATTACGTTTTACGGAATTGAAGAAGAAAAATAAATCCTTTTATGGAAGTTAACGCTTTTATGATAACGATAAAAACAATAGTTACAAAATTATCCAGTTGTATGGCCAAAACGTTGACAGACCATAGTGAGTAGTTTAGCGAATATCGATTAATGAAAATTTGTATTTAATTGCAGCCACAATTGTTCACCTTTAAAAAGGTGGTCAAAAATATTACAGCATAAAATACCTTTATAGGTATCTCAAGATATCGTAACGTACGCCAGAGCTCACATCATGACTACGTTTGAGTATAAAACCAATAAAAACATCACTGAAAACCTTAAAGGCGATATTTACGATATTTTACTGCATCCCAACACTATGGAAGAATAATCAAATGAATCCTTTCCTTTTGGTTTGTTATTTTTATCGTCAGTTGCCAAACCATTTTTATCGTTACTTCCCAAACAATTTTTATCGTCATGTGGATATTTTAAAAACATGTAAATATAGTTTGTTTCCTACAGTCCACCGACAAAGTTGGCTTAATTGCACTGATTATAGTACAGAAAGCGGCTAATTGCTGATTTTACTCACTTTGTTGCACCGTTTATACTTTGGCGCACACCAGTATTCCAACCAAACAACAAAAAACAGCGTGGTTATGCGCGTAAACCGTGTGCTGAATTTTTTTTTCAGGATTAGTGTTGCCTACAGTATTATTTTGAGGCTTCTGATTGGCTGAGGGAACATCTTTACCGCAACGATACGGATTATGTCAACGGCCTCGGTGGTGCAGTGGATAGAGTGTTGGGCTTATGATCCGAAGGTCCCGGGTTCGTATCCCACCCGTAGCACAGTTTTTTTATTGGATTTTTTTCATTATCAACAAGTTTGGTTGGTTTGGTTAGGTTATGACGGTTTAATTTTAAAATTAAAACATTATTAAATTGAATTTGACCCATTTATAGTTTTATTTTATGAACAGAAATATTTTTTCGGTTAAACCTTCATTTGACTTTTCATTGTTAGCAAGTCTGGTTAGTTTGGTTAGGTTATGATAGTTAAATTTTATAATAAAAAAATTATAAAATAGGATTTGAGGCATTTATAATTTTATTTTATGAACAGAACTATTTTTTCGATTAATAAACCTTCATTAGATTTTTTCATTGTCAGCACGTTTGGTTGGTTTGGTTAGGTTATGACGGTTTAATTTCATAATAAAAAAAAAATTGAATTTGAGGCATTTATAATTTTATTCTATGATCAAAAATAATTTTTCAATTACTAAACCTTCGTTATAGTCAATCAGAAGCCTCTAAATGACACTGTTGGCAAAATTAATCCTGAAAAAAAAATTGTGCAAACCGTGTGCGCTTGGAAATAGGTTGGCAACACAAAGATACTATGATCAGCTGATTGACTATTGATACTACGATTTAACCTGTAATTTCGTGTTTATATTCTAATCTATTTTCGTTAAACGCTAGGTTTGAACATAAGGGTAGTATTTGATAGAATAAAATTATAAGTGAGGCTAACATGTTTAAAAATAGTGAACTCAGTGAAAGTGATTGTGAATATATGTGTACACCAGAAGAAATAGCAGAAATGCAAAACATGTTAACTAAACCAGTTACCTGAAAAATCAAGAAAGAAGTATGAACGAGCAAACGAACCGTTTTCTTCTTGGTGCGTAAGTAAGAAAGTTACAAAATTGTCAGAAAATGTTTCATTGGCATATT